AAATCACTCAGATCAAATGAATTAGTCAAATCACTCAGATCAAATGAATTAGTCAAATCACTCAGATAAAATGAATTAGTCAAATCACTCAGATCAAATGAATCAGTCAAATCACTCAGATCAAATGAATTAGTCAAATCACTCAGATCAAATGAATTAGTCAAATCACTCAGATCAAATGAATTAGTCAAATCACTCAGATAAAATGAATTAGTCAAATCACTCAGATCAAATGAATCAGTCAAATCACTCAGATCAAATGAATTAGTCAAATCACTCAGATCAAATGAATTAGTCAAATCACTCAGATAAAATGAATTAGTCAAATCACTCAGATCAAATGAATCAGTCAAATCACTCAGATCAAATGAATTAGTCAAATCACTCAGATCAAATGAATTAGTCAAATCACTCAGATAAAATGAATTAGTCAAATCACTCAGATCAAATGAATCAGTCAAATCACTCAGATCAAATGAATTAGTCAAATCACTCAGATCAAATGAATTAGTCAAATCACTCAGATAAAATGAATTAGTCAAATCACTCAGATCAAATGAATCAGTCAAATCACTCAGATCAAATGAATTAGTCAAATCACTCAGATCAAATGAATCAGTCAAATCACTCAGATCAAATGAATTAGTCAAATCACTCAGATCAAATGAATTAGTCAAATCACTCAGATAAAATGAATTAGTCAAATCACTCAGATCAAATGAATCAGTCAAATCACTCAGATCAAATGAATTAGTCAAATCACTCAGATCAAATGAATTAGTCAAATCATTCCGATCAAATGAATCAGTCAAATCACTCAGATAAAATGAATTAGTCAAGTCACTCAGATCAAATGAATCAGTCATATCACTCAGATCAAATGAATTAGTCAAATCACTTAGATCAAATGAATCAGTCAGATCACTGAGATGAAACGAAACGGTCAGATCAAATGGATTAGTCAAATCACTTAGATCAAATGAATCAGTCAGATCACTCAGTTCAGCCTCGTTTGACTGGGGCTTACATAACTAACCCTCAAAGACCTTTGTCAGGTTAGATTGTAAAATTTGTTCCGAACGGACCTGTTACCTAATAACCAAAATTTTGATCTCAACAAGTCTAGACAAAAATTTCACTACAGCTTGAAAAAGCATCACAGAATTAGTAATATTCCGAAATTTAGCGTTTTTCAGTCATTTTGTATTACGCACGGGAAATTGATACCGCTTTCTGAAAAAAGGTATCAATTTCCCGCGCGTAATACAAAATGACTGGAAAACGGTAAACTTCACAGGGCTACAGTATCCGCATTTTACAACATTTCGCAACGAAACGTCGGAATATTACTAATTTTGTGATACTCTTTCAAGCCGTGGTGAAATTTTTCTCGAGACTTGTCTAGATCTAAATTTTGTTCATTAGGTAATAGGTCCATTAAACTAGCCGAAACTAACGAGACTTTGCTCTTTTGTAGGAATTAATTATACTATCAAGTCAGATGTGAACATTAAAGATAACAAGTGGCATTACGTGAGTTATACAAAAAAAAACAAATGTTTTACGCTGACGGTTGACGAGACGACATCGGATAAAGACATAACAGATAAGCACTTTCATAAAATGGACTACGATGACCATTCTTTCTTGGGAGAGATTGCGAAGAAGCCGTACATCAACGAGATAAAAATACAAGATTTTATTTGGGGAACCTTTCCCAATAAGATCAAAATGGAGACCGTTAATTTTGTGACTGGTTTATACAGTACATATGAAAATCACAACGCAGGGTTCAGTGTGCTACCGGACAGTCATTTACCAAGATTCAACAGAAAGTTGCCCAGTTCTACTCCTAAATCAATGCCAAATACTGTGGTTCCAATTCATCGTTGTGATGAGGGCCCCTGTCCCACCTCAGGTATGATGTAGTTGTTGTTAAAGACTTTTCTCATAACTTTCCATAAAACTTTCCCATACCTGCTCGAAATGCCGTCCTGCCAATGGCCCAAATGTGGCGAAGCTTTGTTGTTGTTGGGGTATAAGGGTCAATATCTGATAACGTTTTACGTTACCTAAAGCAGTATTTGCTGTGGATATTACTGTGTATGGTAGAAAGATTGCTCACTTTAAGATTTCTGAAAGCCAACAACGATAACAACAACAAATTAAGTAGCAACAACAACATAAGCAACAACAACAACAACATAAGCAACAACAACAGCAAACAACAACAACAACATAAGCAACAACAACATAAGCAACAACAACAACATAAGCAACAACAACATAAGCAACAACAACAACATAAGCAACAACAACAAGGACTACAGCAACACCAACATAAACAACAACAACAACATAAGCAACAACAACAACATAAGCAGCAACAACAACATAAGCAACAACAACAACATAAGCAACAACAACAACAAGGACTACAGCAACAACAAGGACAACAGCAACAACAACATAAGCAACAACAACAACAACATAAGAAACAACAACAACATAAGCAACAACAACGACATAAGCAGCAACAACAACATAAACAACAACAACAACAACAACAACAACAACAACAACAACAACAACAACAACAACAACAACAACAACAACAACAACAACAACAACAACAACATAAGCAAACAACAACATTAACAACAGCAAGTGACAAACAAACAACAACATCAGCAGCAACAACAACTACAGCACCAGGCAAACATACGAAGACAAGAACAACAGCAAGTGACAAACAAACAACAACATCAGCAACAACAACAAGTGACAAACAAACAAACAAACAAACAAACAAACAAACAAACAAACAAACAAACAAACAAACAAACAAACAAACAAACAAACAAACAAACAAACAAACAAATGCGATATTATGAAAGGTTTCTTATTGGTTGTGAAATTTTATTGAAATTTCGTTTCTGGCTGCGATATCATATATACATATATATATATATATATATATATATATATATATATATATATATATATATATATATATATATATATATATATAATTGAAGCCAGTGCATTTTAGTTTTTCTGAGTTATGAGCAGAAATACTCAACACTGAACGTAACGGCTATATATCAAATTGAAGCTATTGAAAAACGCTATTTGGTGTAGAAATTTCAAGACCTTGGCTAAAAGGGAAATATTGAAAAACTACAAACATAATTACCGATAATTTGCCGTTTTGCAGTTGTTTTTGTATTTTTTAAATGTTTTTCTTTTCGCTGAAGTCTTGAAATTTCCACACCGAATAGCACTTTTCAATAGCTTTAATTTAATATATAGCCCGACATTTGGGGTCAAGTATTTCTGCTCATAACTCAGAAAAACTATTTTGGTTTCATCAAATCATAGGCTTCATCATAGCAGTTAGCCTTCCAGTTTATTTATAGTTCAATGGGCTACACCATTGAACTAAAAATAACTGGAACGCTACGTTCAGTAAACTGCGCATGGAAATTTTGAAGCCAAAATTTGACTCCCATGAAGCCAGTTTTGACTCCCAGACACGCACTTCCACGCGTGTTTCTACTGCGCGATTTACTCGCGAGACAATGCAGGGGGCGATCGAAGCATGCCGTTTTGAACGTTTTCATGGCAAGATGCGAATCGAAAGGGAAACGGGCCTCTTATTTTAAAACGGGCCTTTTAAAGCCTGTGTACGACCTTGTATAAATTAGCTTCAAACTTCCGCTTGAACGTAGCGTTCCAGTTATTTTTAGTTCAATGGGCTACACACACTGGCGCAGTCGTCAGAGCAAGCGCCTTTCACCTCTGAGACACAGAATACTAACACCGCGGAAAAACGTCTGCGCATGCGTCAACCTTACCTGTAATAGTATTGCGAACTTGATGAGAAGCTGTGCCGAACGTTTCCGAAGGCTCAAAATGGCGGTAAAAAGAAGTGACTTCATTGTGCGTCTTTACAGCCAGATTTCGAGCGCAAAAATAAACATGTCATTTTAAAAACTAGGAATAAATACAGCCAGAAGGTTCAAGAAATTGTATTGTACAAGAACATGAACTAAAGGTGATTGTTGACAAATTTATCGTCTGAAACATTTTGTTTATCAACTAAGCAACGATAATTTTCGTTTGAGATACATTTCTTTAAAAAAAACTGTGTCGCCAAATATAAAAAATTTTCGTGTTCACAATAATTAAACTTCAGGATTTATTCTACAATTTGAGTGGATTAAGAAGCTTAACTTTTCGAGAGTTTTCTTAACTTTTGAGTTTGAATTTTTGTTTTGAATAATTTTGCAAAAATTTTCGAAGTCGTGTCCGTTAAAATCAACAATTTTTTACATGAATTATATTTCATTGCATACTTTAAATGACAGGACGCTTTCAACTAATGTCTAGTCTACCCATTTGCTATATTTTCTCGTTTGATTTAATAATTTTTGACCAATTAATAAGCATGTTTTTGTTTTAGAAATTGATATTCAAATTCCCCGCCATATTTTCATAATTTGGTGCATGCGCAGACGTTTTTCCGCGGTGTTCAGAATACTACACAGAAGTCCATCTCCATTGTTTTTTGCGTAAGCGTTATTCGTCATGATTCGTCACTGAGCAAGTACCGTAAACAGAAGCAGTCACCCCCCCTGGACGTTCGCCATTTTTAGTATTTCCAGGGGGGGGCTGCTTCTGTTTACGGTACTTGCTGAGTGACGAATCATGACGAATCGCGCTTACGCTAAAAACAATGGAGATGGGCTTCTGTGTAGTATTCTGTGTCTGAGATCGTTGGTTCAACTAACAGTCGGTCAACGTTCTGCCGAAAGTCGTTGGTTTTCTCCGGGCGCTCCGGTTTCCTCCCACGGGGAAAGTTGACAGGGTGGGTTTGGATAAGTAAGAAAGTAATATCACAATTATAAGTTCTTTGTATGTTTGCATGGCGATAAAACATATAATAGTTTTGTTTGTGAAAACACCACGTAAATTTATTACTGCAAAGCTTTCGATCCGTAAGCCCGGATCTTCATCAGTGCTAATAATAGATAGCTTAAGATCTACGACGTCGACGTCAGCTAGGACTTCAGGGCTAAGCAGAGGACTGGGACTAGGATGTCGTCCTAAATAAGTATAGATAGCTCAATATCGACGACGTCAAATATTTAGGGCGGCAAGCGGAAGTAAATTGGTAATAGTTTTTGAAGTGTGCATGTGTGTCTATCAATTTACTCGTCGTCCACCAAACGTCGACAACCTCATAACAAGAGTTTTACCGTCGTGGATACAAGAGCATAGCAAACGGTAATGAATTCATGTATCTCTTTAAAATTCATTTTCAAAAGAATGTAAATATTTATAGTTTAAACTGTCGACGTCGTGAACCTTAAGTGGAAGTTTATTTATTTAGGACGACGTCCTAGTCCCAGTCCTTTGCTTAGCCCTGACGTCCTAGCTGACGTCGACGTCGTAGATCTTAAGCTATCTAATATGTGACTTGTTTAATTCACACGCCCTTTTTATATACAAAAGTGTCGTGATCTGTTGGCTCGCGTCATTTGAAATTTAATTAAACGGTACATCAACCACGTCATTGCAAACGTAGTGAAGTGATTCCAATTAACGCGCGCGCATCCAATACTATACTATAGATAAGGACAATACTATAGATCAGGAGGGAAAGCCACTAGATAGTACGTGGCGTGCTCTCTTTAATGTGCAAAATTAATTTCTCTTGTCTTGGATGCGCGCACGTTAATTGGAATCACTTCACTACGTTTGCAATGACGTGGTTGATGTACCGTTTCATTAAACAAGTCGCATATTATTAGCACTGATGAAGATCTGGGCTTACGGATCGAAAGCTTTGCAGTAATAAATTTACGTGGTGTTTCCACAAACAAAACTATTATAATATCACAATTGTTGTAAAGATAAAATATAAGCAAAGTATGTAATTTGGTAAGCGTATAATACTTGATGTAACGGGCATTTGATCATATATCCAAATGTAAGTTTGCGCTATAGAAATGCTAATCTTAATCTTCTTAATCTTAATATTTAGAAATAATGAAAAACTGTTTGGTATTGGCCAACCTTCTGTACCTTCAACAGCCGGCGATCCAGCCGTTCCGCACGTTGTAACCAATAATATATTGGCGTTGTAAAGCCGTTGTATGCAATTAAGTATTGGGTTGTTATGGGTCTACAATCACAATAACCCTAATCCAAACGCTAACCTCTGACCTCTAACCCCAACCTCGTGCCCAGGAAGCAGAATGCCCTGAGTACGAGGTTGCTATAACCCCTGACCCTAAAGTTGATGACCTTTTCTTAGTAATCTCCCCACCTCGGGACGACCTACCTCGCTTTTAGGGCCATATTTATAACTAAAACTTTTGTCCAATGCTTGTGGTTTTGTCTGCAGTTACAACGCAATACTTTATTGCATACAATGGCTTTACAACGCCAATAGATTATTGGTTACAACGTGCGGAACGGTGAACAATCAAACATGTGACGCATTAGTGCTCAAAAACAGGACACAGTACACCCTTCCGGAAAGTACCTCACCTTGGCTGTAGAGCCTCGTTCTTGTATTTGCGACGTTGCGCTTTAACTAATGTCACATACATCATATAGCCAAACTGATTACTTTCCGAAAATGTGTATTACACGCGTAAAAATTGAGAAAATCAACAACTTGTTCCAGGTTGATATCATTAACAGGCGTGAACAAGGTTGTGCGGCCCACTATGAACAGTATTGTCAACATGTTGTTACAGCATTGTTCAACTGTAACAACTTGGAACAACATGGTTGACAACTTGTTCGTAGTTGGCCGCACAACATTGTTCACGCCTGTTGATATCAACTTGGAACAACCTGTGCGTTTTTAGCCGTGTAGCGAGCAGTCCAGCCTTATACATGTCAGCAGTCATCGCTGACAGGGCATACTTCCTGTAGCCCTTCATGATCACGAAATGTATAATTTTGATAAACAACAGGAAGGTGGTATATTACTATATTTTACACTCCGGAATGTATCTATAAACATTGTACAATAGTTCAGGGTAAGTGTTGGGGTTAGGGCGGGGATTACGATATACCTATTTATTTCATGAAGGACTATATGAAGTACAAACCCAATCGACTGCACGTGCACATTCCCTTGGCGAACTCAGATCACGTGCTTTGAGTCGGGATAAAATTCCAGTTAATCATAGAACTGTTCAATTCAATACTCTGGTGTGCATTTAAATATCAACTATATACATGTTATGATTCAACTGACGCAGAACGCTTGATTTGCATGCGCAATAGATGCTAGGAACTAGTCTATTATAAATAATAATGTCATACTGTTTAGATATTTTTCATGGAATGACCCTTGCGATAACTTCAGAGGTATAAAAAAAAACACGCAAAGATTCCCAGCATTTCTTCGACAAGTCAAATCTATTGGGAGGTATACTCTCTTCGCATTCGAAAGCTTCCACTTCGGAACGACGCCCAGCCTTGACTCGCCTCTGAGTTGGCCTGGTATTTAGAGCACAGGTACTTTAACGAACGTCTGTACTGCGGGAGCCGCCAGGCATATACCAGCGGATTCACTGCAAAATTTAGCAGCTCGATTGGAAAATAATAGCGGTGGAATAGCATTAGCACATTCGGTGGTGGACATTTACAAAACATCCAATACCCAAGCAAAATCTGCGACGCTAGCAAGTAGGGTAATACAGTCAAGGCCAAAATCCCTACCAGTAACAACACAACTGCTGTTAGTTTGTCTTGTTGAGAACTGCCAGTTTTCTGTTTCATTCTTACAACATTTTGCGCCGCTTTGATGAAATCACGCCTTGTTTTACTACAGTTACTAGTTTCCTCGGGAAATTCCACGCCTTTCGTACAAGTTTTTATCCCCTCGGGTTTTTGTCCTACCGTGTATTTCTTCCCGTTCAAAAGGTCCTCGCCGAGAGCGCCGTTATTCGTGGTGCCATTACTATGCTCCGTTGAGATCGTCGGGGACCCGGGGCATACCGGCACTAATGTCCTACTTAAGGACAAATTCGGTTCTTCTGTTACTCTTTCTCATGAAGGTTTATAAATCCGCTATTTTTTTATAGTATTTTATACTATTTTATAAACAACGTGAAAAATGTAAGCGATGTGAAAATAATTTTTCGAATATTTAACTGTAATTCGATTTATAATGATTATTCTTAAGGCCTGTTTAAACGGATCCAACATTGTTGGACCAACATCGTCCAACAATGTTACTATAATAGATTTGACTGCTTCTCTTTCAAATCTTTTTGGTTAGATAAGCTTTACTCAAACTCTAAACCTAGTCTTGACAAAAATATTTGAAAAAGAAGCCGTTTGGGCCATTATTTCAACAATGTTGGATGATGTTGGCCCAACAATGTTGGATCCGTTTAAACAGGGCTTTACAACTATATTTATAGAAAGTTTCATTTTCACTGGTTACTATCCCTGTTCTGAAAAGGTTGCCGGCGCCCAAAAATGGCGGCGTGAGAAGTCTAATTGGCCATATGTATATTAAAAGACATCTTAAACATCTGGAGCAGGTTGTACGAAGGCCGGATAGCGCTATCTACGGGATAGTGATTTTTTCAAGCTTTGTTAAATCAGTCGTTGATTGGTACAACTCATTGGCATAACGTTGATTGGTATAACTCATTAGTATAACTCATCCGCCACCTGATTAGGTTCGGCGCATGAGAAGAGCGTTAGAGCGACGTTTGACCCGGGCCTTAGTTGTCTTCTAGACGTTCAACTCTTCTATATAGAAAGTGGTAAGGTTTAGATTTGACTTCCACTATATATACTACTATAGCACGCATCTGATTGGTTAATGATCCCTCAATGGTAGCGGAATTCAAATTTAAATCTCACTAATCATGGGAAGTTCAGATATATATATATATATATATATATATATATATATATATATATATATATATATATATATATATATATATATATATATTTATATATATATTATATATATATATATTATATATATATATATATATATATATATAGTTTCAACTGTTCATCTCGTATTAATATTAGTCGCATATAAACTCTGCCGACATTTTTCGTCACATATATATGTCTCTCATTTTATCCCTACATATAGGGAATACATTATGCAATTAACAAAGCATTACTCCATTAGCAGAATGGCTCTGTACTGATCTCAAATTGCATTGCAAATTGCAACAAGATTGCGGCCTCAGTCGCGTCCTTAAAAGCATATAATGTTGTACAGGGTTTTAGAATTGCCAATTTTGCATTTTAAAACTGCCCGTTTTAGAAAATGGGATTGAAACTTTCGTGTTTTGTGATTCAGCTACCCGAGAAAAGATTTAATCTTATTTAATGCAGTAATTTAGACCGACACAAAACACCCGGCAGCTTATATTAGGAGGTGATCGCAACTTAATGTTAAAAAACGTACAATTTCAACGATTTTAACGCGAGAAACAAAATTATTCCCAGATATCTGTCATATAGGACTTATAAATAAGGACATATAAACTTTAATTTAAAACTCTCTATAATTCTCGAACTTTTGCAGTCGGTTTTAACAAAGTATTGAAAACGTAAACAAAGATGAATTTTGAATATCTTTTCACTACCATCTCGAATCAACCCTGAAAAGCTATTCGACATGTTTTCTAGACCTCAGACTCGTGTCGACTTATTTAGCCGCGTATGACAAAGATCGAAACATATTGAAATTATTCGTCTCATGCATGTCTCATCGCTAATGTACATTTTGTTAACTCGAGTCGCGCGGTATCAAAAATAATTTCTAAATAATAAATCACAATAATCAAATAAAGGCAACTAACCTCAACTCTCTCCCATCGCTAAAAGTGTCCAAAAATAACGCCGATATACAGGTACTGTGCGATTCAGTGATAGCTGTAAGGAAAAGAATATACGAATGAAAATGTAATCGCTTGAAATTGGCTATCATATATATTCAGAATGCCAGGTGCTATGGGACACTGAAATTCAATGTCATTGTTACGCTACACAATATAGATCTCAGCCTATTATCCAATTAATATTTAAGCAATATTTAAACCGAGCCTATACGCACTCTCGCTTTTATACAATCCCCGCCCTGATTGGCTAATTCGCGGAACCGCATAACACACTAAACGTATACTTTGCTACCATGTGTGCATTAAATGAATTAATTATGCTAACGGCTTATACATCTCATTTACATGTCTATATATATAATAAATATATGTGGGTATAATGGCCACGTTTACACTATACGGATATAGCTTTTCGTAGCGACACGAAAAATCACCTATATATCCGATACGGAACGTACAACTTTCAGAAGTTGAGCGAATCTCTCCGTTGCAATAATTCCTCTGAATAACTGAAAATAGCGTTCCTATAAAAGGTACGGATATGTGTTTTTTTCACGTCGCTACGAAAAGCTGTCCGGTGTCACAGCGGATTTGGACCCCCAGTAGATTTGGACCCCCGGTCCAAATCTCAGTAGTAGATATGGACCCCTCCGGTCCAAATCTCCTAGCAGATATGGACAAACAAACAAACAAACAACAAACAAACAAACAAACAAACAAACAAACAAACAAACAAA